TATGCTGTAATGAGTTAATTGGAGATTCCCAGGTAAGACCCACAGGTAAGAAAACTGTACCTGGTAATCCAATTCAATTCAGTTTATTGCTTTGAAAAGCCACATAATCACGTGGTTTCACACCTGTATATTTTACCTGTGATTATCCAAACTACTCGGTAGTGAAGCGGACGCAAAACCTATCAATCAAGCACTGGACACGGTGTGTTTAGTGTGATGTACCTGTACCCAAATTTTAAAACTAAGCCGGCTAAAGGAGTGGATCGAGTTGCTTTACATTATTGAACCAAGATGTTAAATTATAACTTGTGTATATTACATGTATATGGAGAGAAAAAGTTTAACCTTCATAATTCAATTATATTTTCGAGATAAATATAATCACGGACTCAGATTATCTAAGTCCTCGATATAACTTAGCATCGCATCAATAAGTACTGTATTGTATAATGATATTCAATGTGTAACTGTCGGTATTTTGTTGTTTATTTGAATTGTCGACCTAACATAAGGACGACACAGTGTAGTCAATTTGTCATTAAACGGTAATACCGAAAATATGCTATACGTTTTTTTGACACTCAAACACAGAAGACACCAACGTTGAAGTTATTTGTTAACATTTTTCACTGATACATTTCCGTATATTTGGACTGTAACGGTACAGTAACTTTGCAATATATATAATCCTGCACAGAAACTGGTCACGTAGTAGTGCTGTTCAACGACGACATGATTGGCGTTTGTGTACACAGCATGACAAAAGGTGATTACGTGTTGTCATCCAATTATAGGCTAATGTCGATTGGATGTCTTGTGATATATATTAACCCTTATAATAATAATTTATTTTATTAAAGAGTCACATATCCATTCACAATTTAAAGTTTCTAGTTGAAACAAAATTGATAGAATTAATTATCCGGCCAAGTTGACCTATGAGACACTATTTCAACGTTAAATACAGATTACTGTAAAAGCATAATATTTCGTTGGGGATTTAATTTCGTTTATTTCGTGGTTTAAAGAAAACCATGAAATATAATCCCAACGAAATTTTAATCGCACGAAATAGAAATTAGCGAAAATATGAAATAAACTATTACTTTAATTACAAACCATGCTGTATTTACATTTAGACACAGGTCATGATAAACGGTGTACTTATCGTCACAGACACAGAGTTAAACACTTATAACTATAGCGCGTCAATCAAGCGTTTGTTACATCGCTCTTTGTATGTAAATTATAGAGCATGACGGATTTGACCGATACCCATAGTGTGAGTTTATCTCGCCGGGTCTTACCTGAACCTCGCAAGCAGTACGGTGACCATCGGGCGATGGTCGATCTATTGTTTTCCACTGACTGGGGTGAAGCGAGGTGTGAAAATTTCACCTGGAGTGGATGGGTGATCACCTCGGGCGATGTACGGTAAGTCTTATTGTCCAGGTGTCAAACATAAAATAACTGGGTTTGAAAATATTGATTTCACGAAATATTTTCCCCACGAACTTGTCCCAAATCCAAAACAACGAAATTTAACCACCAACGTAAATATATGCTTTTACAGTATACTATGATTTAAAAATTAAAGTACAAATCAACTTCTCCACGGTCGGTTGCTGGTTACTTAATCAGATAATGAAATAACAAGATTTTTCCTTTGTTAAAGAAATAATTAACTGGGCCAACCTACCTGCAAACATATAAACATGCACACGTATGTACAATCAATCATATCAACATGTTTTTTTCATAACAACCACTTACCTATACATTCAACAACATTTTGCACATACTTGTACAATTATACCCTCTTGTCAAATACAGCTTTTTATACATTACATACCAAGTCAACCCACTTTTTCACTAACATTTTATGCGAGGACCAGGCTGCCTGCGCTAAGTAAAACGAATTCAGTACAAATGTCACTTTAGTATTTGAACATTGTGTTAGCAGGAAAAAAGTATTTCAGTATTAGCAATAGCAAAACAGTCCTATAAATAAATATTTGCTTTTGTCTATTATATTTTAACATGAACACCGATAATTCTCATAATACATTGTCACAGTTCCTTAGTTTAATGATTTTTCCTTGACGCTTACAAGTAGTGATTACATTTAATTATCCTTCAATGCTTAGTTAGAAAGTTCATACAGACCAACAGCTATATTTATACACCTACAATTTCAACATACATGTCCAATACAATGTACATCCACATGTAAGGTTTCTGTGCACGATTATACATTACAAACAAAGTAAACCTACTTTCTCATAATAAAATTGTATGCATGGGATGCTTGCACCAATTAAAAAAGAATTCAGAACGAATGTCACTTTCAAGTTTAAATATATTGTACAACAGGAAACAGAAAAAGAAATACCAAATGTCACTGCGAGTACATGCACCAGAATGTGACGAGAATTACGGCCCGTGATATTCTTGTCAATCAAACAACAGCGGAGCATCGACAAGAACATCAACCAATCATCGCGAGGGCCCACCTCTCTACCGCGCGTGATTGACAGGTATATCAACCAATGAAACGGTGCCATTTTCGTGTAAGATCAGTGCACAGAACTTATCTTAACACATATTGTATATCAATTACATCATTCACACGGCAATATATTTTATCTATATATGTATTTGATAATGATTACTAATACTACTGGAACTATGAGTGAAATGTACTGATACCTAATATATTACGTTAATACAGAGAAGGTATCTGGTTATGATAGAAAGGAAACCAAAACAAAATACCTTTAGTTTATATATTATTCTGATTGTCATGGTTGACCTGAAGCGGAAACGTATATACTACTTACGGCTTTATATGTCTCTGTCTGAAGACAGGTAATACAATATTCAATATTAATTCTGATAATTCATATATTTAACAACCGGATCACGCTTAGCCTTTTATATAAGAAGTTTCATAGGTTCTAAATTTTAGTAATCACAGGTTCGTTAGACGAGAGCAACTGTTTAGACTATACACCAAAGTCGTATATATTGTAATATAACGTCTCTGGTTAAGAATAATGCTCTATTTTTTTTCTCTCTTTACTTTATACAGTTTTGATAACTGACATACGGATGCACATTATCTTTCTGAAATGGTTAAGTTCGCTTTAAATGAATAAAGAAACAAGATATTTCGAAAATTTCGTTCACTTTAAACACATAAGTGTACGTAACTTAAATGGTATTTTTTCTAATGAAAGCCTTTGTGGAGATCATTGTCATTATCACTCGAAGTTTCAACAACCCGGGAGCTTACATTGCTGTTTTAGGAAGTTAACAGGAGTACCTCGGATACCAGATGTGTAACTCATTAGTGTATTCATGCAAAAGATACATTGTTGAAATGTAAACATACATTGTTGAAATTCATACATTCCGATGACGTCACGTTGTTGACTGACAGGACGGCTGGATTGTGTGTTCATTTACATACGTTTACTTTGATGACATAAATGGACGCGTTTTATGTAAAGAAAAAGGCTATAAATATAAGGATTAACTTTCTATTCAATTTAGGTTATCGGGTGATAACTACAATGGAACCCGGGTAAATTATTTTTTCTTTATCACCCGATAACCTAAACTAAATAGAAAGTTCAACCTTAAATATTATAACATGAAACATTAAATCAGAAGGGATATTCTTACGACAGTACAGGAAAGATAAAGTTCCATTTAATTGAAATTATATCAGTAATGATTAAAAAAACACCAAAATATGAATAAAATACATTTATGTTAAATACAATAGAAATTAAAAGCTGAGAGGACAGGTGATCGGGAATCTCCTTACTAAGAGGATTATATAAATCACAAAACTATTAACAACATAAAAAACGATTGAAAGGTATATGAAGCAAAATAGGAACGTAAACTGTCTTAACATATATATATATATACAGTGGTTCGTTTATGAACATTTACACAATCGGTTCATCATTTGCACGAGTTTATCAATAAATACTGGACAACTAGTACCTCGGACCGAACGGAGCCGGGGGATATAGTTTACGTAATATAAGTTGTATACGACATCGGGACGTACTTATCGTTCGTCATTAAATATCGTTAATATTGAGAGTTCATATTGTGTCTTTGATTATTATATGAGTGATCAGAGACGTATATACTGGCTTCATGTGTCCCTGGAGTGATGTATCAAAGCACCAGTTCAGCAATACGGTAAAAGTTATGCATTATTCTCAAATGGTCGTTCATTTCGATCCTAACCCTGGCCGTAGTACAAAATAAGCATTATTTCCTTGGTCTTTATTTATTTCATTCGAAGTAAATATAAGTGTACTATCGACCTGTGTTATTATATCGTTTTGATTACGGAATTAGAGCGACCGTCTTTGCATAGCTATACCGACAACACGGCCAGCAAGGCAGGGACTATAGACTGCCTCACCTGTACGGGCTTCGCCGGAGCGCGGCTACATCAAAGGGAATACCGCTGTGCGAGTGAGCGGGACAACGACTTAATTTTCGGGGGCCAACGACCAGTTTTCGGGAACAAAGGCACAATCTTATTGAATTGTTATGTTCCTGAAAATTGGTTGTTGTCCCTGAAAATTGGTTGTTGTTCCTGAAAACTGGTCCATGTCCCGATAACTTGGATATGGTTTTTAAATTTAAATGGTGCTTCGCTAATTTAGAGAGTGTTTCCGTAATTTGGGCAATGCAAATATGATTTAGATTGTACATCATTAAGTTAGCCATTCATAGATTATTTAGCTGGTACGTCATTAAGTTCGGTCATGAATTTATGATTTAGATTGTGTTTTGTAAAATTCAATGCTAATTGAAGTTTACTGGTATAATAAGGTAGATTAAGTCGTAGAATTGATTTTTTCGCTCTTAAGTGATTCTCAGTGTGTTGATCAAGAAATTTGAGATTTAGCTATATTTTTTAAAACTTTTATAAATATTTTTCAGTTATGTTCCCATTTTCCTTGCAGTTGAGAAAGAAGACAGACTTTATACATGAAAGTCAACTGAAGAGCAGTAATCTGTGTCACTTTGCTGGAATCCTGCATGCCATGCAGGTCATACCTGGTGTTGTCAGCATGATGACAGCTGTTCATTCACCCAACCGAACCAGCAGCCTCCATGTGGATATTGTGGCAGGTCAAGGTCAGGTGTGGGTCAAGGTCATTGCAAGGAAAGCTCAGGCATTACATCTGATATGGGCAGGTAAATTGTCAAATCGTATATACCTCATTATTTGCAAAGCATAGAAAGTAACACACACATGTTTCAACAAGTCAAAAAATACTTTGGTTTGTGCAGTAGTATGAGTTCTCTCAGAGATCAAGATGTTTGTTATGTTTTTGAGACAGGGTAAACATTTCTTTTAACCTCTTGTCTAATTCAGAAAACATAAAAAAAAACAACATTTGAGTGACAGTCCGAACCCTAACGGCCTCTTGTTGATAATACATTAAGAAACAGAAGCTAAAACAACATTGTATTTAGTTTTAACTGAGACACCTCGATTCCTGCAGAATCCTGTGAGAGATCAAGACTCATGCAATGTATTTCAGTTGTAAGATACTTCTACTCAGCAAAGTCTATCAAATAGTAAGGTGGTAGGTACTTTTAGGATCCATTGGTCTTAGATAGTCATGGAAGTTTCCATATTGAATGGCTTCAGAATATTCCAAAAGCATAAAATTGCAGAATAACATATCATGTCCAATGATTAACGATGACAGATTTAAGTCTGTGATCAATCTGGTGGATTATTTCCTGAGTGTGTTGGAGGTTGTCAGAAGAAATGCTATGGTATAATATTGTTTGTGTTTCTTGAAAGATGACATGTACGTCCCGCATTTGTTGTAGTTTTATTGACTGTCAGGAATGTCAGATCTGACAACCTCCTAGACCCAGGAGGTACTGAGTGTTTTTTTCTCCCTTGTCAACCGTTATCTGGTAGTAGACAGCGTTGTTAGCTCACCTCACTAGTCCAGACCATCTCCATGGATACTGTTACTAAATTTGGTTTGGACCATTACAGGACAAGGAGGGCTTAATTTTGTGTGGCACTGATCAGGAGTGGAGATCAATTGGGGAACTCTTCATCATCCTATTCCTTAATATCAATGAAAGTCCTTGGGCTGAGAGGAATGGTTTTTGCTTGAATGATCGGTGTGTACCATGACACCCCATGTGGTGCAAAGGAAGAGAAGCAAATTGTTGTTAATCATTAAAATTCTATTCATTCAGTATGAACAAAGGGATTTTAACCTATTTAATGGTGTAAGGGATCCCTAGGATAAGGGAATGTTTGTATGAATGACTGGTGTGGACACCCAGGGGTAGGAGGTTGAGGATCAGGGCCCTGGGGTTTTGTTACAATATGGTAGCTTCCTGCTCTTTGTTCTACTGTGAAATAAAAGAAGAAATACATCATAGTGCCAATACACAAGGACAAGATAAGAACTCACATTGAAAAGTCATCTATAGAGCAAAAAGGCACAAAAATAAAAGCAAAAGCACTATATATATTTATATAAATATGGGCAAAGAAGTAATTCCAACAGTGTGGACAAGTTTAGGTTGTCAAATTTTCGGAGCAATCCGCTCCTTTTACATATATATACATGGGGTGTCATGGTATAGGTTCTTTTGAATAAACCTGAAGAGCCCTGTGAAGGGTGAAAGCAGCTAGTTTTTTAGTCGGTCGTTATTTTTATTTTTTCTATATATATATATATATATATATATATATACATATATGCTCTTACCCTGATCAGACATTTACATGTATATCTGAGTGTGGGATCTCTAATTTCTATCTCTAGGGTAAGAATCCATTCTTGACATAATACAGCTAGGGGTTAAGCATATGGAGCTGAACCAAAACTATTTCTATCCATTTTAAAGATAAAACAAATAAATTACAACGATGAGCCTAAAGGGTATGACAATTTAAGAATATTATATCAAAGTTTAAAAATCTGCCCATTGCCACAAATGGTCAATAAGCTGTTCTATAATGTGTATTCTTTCTCATGTTGAACTGGTCACAATAGGTCAATAAACTGTTCTTTCTCATGTTGAACTGGTCACAATAGGTCAATAAGCTGTTCTATTTTGTGTATTCTTTCTCATGTTGAACTGGTCACTATAGGTCAATAAGCTGTTCTATTATGTGTATTTTTTCACATATAAAACTCTTCACAATAGGTCAATAGGCTGTTCTATCTTGTGTATAACTGGTCACAATAGGTCAATAAACTGTTCTTTCTCATGTTGACCTGGTCACAATAGGTCAATAAGCTGTTTTATTATGTGTATTCTTTCTCATGTTGAACTTGTCACAATAGGTCAATAAGCTGTTTTATTATGTGTATTCTTTCTCATGTTGAACTGATCACAATAGGTCAATAAGCTGTTGTATCACATGTTAAACTGGTCACAATAGGGCAATAAGCTGTTCTATCTTGTGTGGAACTGGTCACAATGGGTGAATAAGCGGTTCTATCACATGTTAAATTGGTCACAATAGGTCAATAAGCTGTTATATAATGTGTGAAACTGGTCACCATGGGTCAATAAGCTGTTCTTTTGTCATGTTGAACTGGTCACAATGGGTCAATAAGCTGTTCTATCTTGTGTAGAACTGGTCACAATGGGTGAATAAGCTGTTCTATCACATGTTAAATTGGTCACAATAGGTCAATAAGCTGTTCTATTATGTGTATTCTTTCACATATAAAACTGGTCACAATAGGTCAATAGGCTGTTCTATCTTGTGTATAACTGGTCACAATGGGTCAATAAGCTGTTCTATCTCGTGTATAACTGGTCACAATTGGTCAATAAGCTGTTCTATCTTGTGTATAACTGGTCACAATAGGTCAATAAGCTGTTCTATCACATGTTAAACTGGTCACAATAGGTCAATAAGCTGTTCTATCTGGTGTAGAACTGGTCACAATAGCTCAATAAGATGTTCTATCTTGTGTATAACTGGTCACAATGGGTCAATAAGCTGTTCTATCTCGTGTATAACTGGTCACAATTGGTCAATAAGCTGTTCTATCTTGTGTATAACTGGTCACAATAGGTCAATAAGCTGTTCTATCACATGTTAAACTGGTCACAATAGGTCAATAAGCTGTTCTATCTGGTGTAGAACTGGTCACAATAGCTCAATAAGATGTTCTATCTTGTGTATAACTGGTCACAATGGGTCAATAAGCTGTTCTATCTTGTGTAGAACTGGTCACAATCGGTGAATAAGCTGTTCTATCACATGTTAAACTGATCACAATAGGTACATAAGCTGTTATATAATGTGTGAAACTAGTCACCATGGGTCAATAAGCTGTTCTTTTGTCATGTTGAACTGGTCACAATGGGTCAATAAGCTGTTCTATCTGGTGTATAACTGGTCACAATAGGTCAATAAGCTGTTCTATCACATGTTAAACTGGTCACAATAGGTCAATAAGCTGTTCTATCACATGTTAAACTGGTCACAATAGGTCAATAAGCTGTTCTATCTTGTGTAGAACTGGTCACAATAGCTCAATAAGATGTTCTATCTTGTGTATAACTGGTCACAATGGGTCAGTAAGCTGTTCTTTTTCATGTTGAACTGGTCACAATAGGTCAATAAGCTGTTTTATCTTGTGTATAACTGGTCACAATGGGTCAATAAGCTGTTCTATCTCGTGTATAACTGGTCACAATTGGTCAATAAGCTGTTCTATCTTGTGTATAACTGGTCACAATAGGTCAATAAGCTGTTCTATCACATGTTAAACTGGTCACAATAGGTCAATAAGCTGTTCTATCACATGTTAAACTGGTCACAATAGGTCAATAAGCTGTTCTATCTTGTGTAGAACTGGTCACAATAGCTCAATAAGATGTTCTATCTTGTGTATAACTGGTCACAATGGGTCAGTAAGCTGTTCTTTTTCATGTTGAACTGGTCACAATAGGTCAATAAGCTGTTATATAATGTGTGAAACTGATCACAATGGGTCAATTAGCTGTTCTATAATTTGTTAAACTGGTCACAATATGTGTGAAACTGGTCACCATGGGTCAATAAGCTGTTCTTTTGTCATGTTGAATTGGTCACAATAGGTCAATAAGCTGTTATATAATGTGTGAAACTGGTCACCATGGGTCAATAAGCTGTTCTTTTGTCATGTTGAATTGGTCACAATAGGTCAATAAGCTGTTATATAATGTGTGAAACTGATCACAATGGGTCAATTAGCTGTTCTATAATTTGTTAAACTGGTCACAATGAGTCAATAAGCTGTTCTATCACATGTGGAACTATTAATAATAAGTCACAACAAGGTCAATAATAATGTTATCAGGTCCATCCAGGGAAAAACTGCAGGTCAATAGAACGTAATCTTATTTTTCATCGCCAGTTAATCTAGATGTGATTGAATTTAAAGCAGGAAGGCTGCCACACATACCATCAAACTTTGCGGATATTAGAAACCTTACCAGTCTTTGGCGTCTGTCTAGACATCTGAACCAGTAGAACAAATTGTTCGACAGATCTTTGATATAAACTTACAGCACTAAGTGGCAATATCATTTACAATGGATAAGCAGTATCCATTGGCCAAACTGTTTTGGTAGTTATAAGATTTCTCAAGCAATTTGCTATAAACTAGATTAAATATTGGTCAGGTCATTGTGTTGTGCAGTGGTATTGGTGGGAAAAAATTGTGGTGAGACCTACAATTGTATTAGTGGGATAGATTGTGGTGAGATCTACAGTGGTATTGGTGGGGATAGATTGTGGTGATACCTACAGTGGTATTAGACGGTATAGATTGAGGTGAGACCTACAGTGGTATTGGTGGGGATAGATTGTGGTGAGTCCTACAGTGGTATTAGACGGTATAGATTGAGGTGAGACCTACAGTGGTATTAGTGGGGATAGATTGGGGTGAGACCTACAGTGGTATTGGTGGGGATAGATTGAGGTGAGACCTACAGTGGTATTAGTGGGGATAGATTGGGGTGAGACCTACAGTGGTATTGGTGGGGATAGATTGTGGTGAGACCTACAGTGGTATTAGTGGGGATAGATTGTGGTGAGACCTGCAATGGTATATTGGTTGGGATAGATTGTGGTGAGACCTACAGTGGTATTAGACGGTATAGATTGAGATGAGACCTACAGTGGTATTAGTGGGGATAGATTGTGG